GCCACGGGTAGAATACCTATTAACTTCTATGAGACGTAGACAGCAAACCTTCTTCAGTCCAGCAGCCCCTCATTGCCTGATGCCATTAAAACTGATAGGGAAGCTACTGTTTTCATATATTTTTCTTCTCCTGCTCTATAGGTAAGTACAGGAAACTTTCTGGAACATGCTTAGTTGCACCTTTCATTGATTAAATTTAGTTGGAAACAAAGAGAACACTGAATTAGGAAAAGGTTCTTCCAAGGAGTCATTTCAGGCTCTTAAGTTAGAAATAACATTGAATCAGTTTTATTTATTTTTAAAGCCTCATGACTAGAATACCATTGTTATTCTGCTATGTGGTTTTAGCAGTGTGTGGTATATTTCCTGCATGCATAAACTACCATGGAGTGGAAAGTACTGAAAGATACTTCACATGTTCTTTCTTCTTTTCTGGTAACTATTGCACTACATTGAAGCCTACAGAAGCTCAAAGACTTTTTTTTTCCTAGAAACAGTGCCAGTATCTCTTTACTACACCATCCATCATGAATGCAGTGCCCTGTGACTCTCACTTAATTATTTTGGCATAGCTTGTAAATAAACTTTCTAAGAAGGCTTAGATGTATAGCAGATTTTGCTGTTGAATTAGAGAGAGTAGAATTAGGAACAATTACAACATGCCGTGCTTAAGAAGGGGAAGGATGTTCTTCTATTTGAATGCACTAGACTCAGACTCAGGGGAGCTGGGCTTACTTCCTGGCTCGGTCACAGTTTTCCAATGTGACCTTAAGCAGGTGCCTCATTTTTCTCCCTGCAAGGTAGAAAAAATACCAGTTTGCCTTGCAAGGTGTTTAGAATTAAATTCCTCAGTACTTCTGAGGCATTCTGACAATAGTGATGGGGTCCATACAAAGACGTTTTGGGAAAGACTTTTTGGAGGACAATAGCACCTTTTTAACCAATTAGATAAATATTTTTGACATTTTAAAAAAATGGAGAAAAATAATGTAAAGAATGTAATTAGTCATGTATGGATACACTGCTTGTGACGTCTTCTAAACTGCCACCTTACACTTTATGGGAGCTGAATCACGTAATTTCAGTAAAAAGATAACCTTGGGAACAGATTATTTTGAGAAGTGGATAAGGAAACACTCCTAGCTTGAGATATTTCAGCCTGTCCCTTGATTTTTTTTTCTTCTTATTTAAGTTTTATAGTCAAATCCAGGTTGCAGTGAGCTACAGTAGGAAGGCTGTTCTGGTGCTGTCAATCATATCAATTCAAAATACCTAGTCATAAGTATTTTAAAATTATAAAAATTATAAAAAAAAAAATTGAACTCTGCCAAGCTTACTCATAAGTCAGGACTCCTTAGTAAACTAGATGAGAAAATGGCAGTCTCTCTCTTTAGCAACATGGGCTATTTATAACAAACATATCAGGCTGATTTCTAAAGACTATTTTCCCATAGAATTTAGTGTAGAATTCTAGGTCTTGATCCTTATCTTCAAAACATTCAGTGGCTCAGGCCTAGGGTACCTAAAACAATCATTTAAAACTGTGGAATGAAGATAGTGGTAGACAAATCCATTGCTCAGGTACAATGGAACTGTCCACTGCTGAAGTAGAGCTCATCTATTCAGGTGACAGAGCTTTCCTTGGGAGCAGTCCAACACTGGAATAAACTCCTACAGGAACTGAGAACCATTACAAACCTTTTAGTCCAGTTTTACTCCTGGGAAGAGAATGAGAGACAAAATGAATCTCACGTGACAGCTATTAGTCACATTGCGTAATACTGGGAAGTATCAGACATCACAGTAGTGAATGTGACATAGAAGCCTCTATTGAGTAGAAACAGGAAACCCTTTGGCATGTCAAAGTGAAAAAATAAAGAGGGAGAAGAGATATCCAATCATTTATGTTTTCTAGCTCTGACAGAAAGTTCAGGTGAGGTCTTATCTTTTTTCTGAACCAATTTGCTCTAGATGAACAACTAAACTATCTGAGAATAGATAGACCAAATGAAGGAAGTGACTAAAAATAAAATATTGCTGGAATAGTAGGTGCTTTTCCTCTTACCATAATTAATACTACCCATCTTTGTACCATCTATTTCTTATAAAGAAAATAATTAGAGCTGTTAAAAATTCTGTATATCATTAACAAAAATTAGCAAAGTTAAGCCCTTGCAGAATCACTGCAGAAGGGTGAACAATTTTAAAAGCAATTCTTACAATTGGTGCCAGTTCTGAGCTTCAAATTCTGGATCCAGAGTCTGAACCACAATGGCTGGATCCAGACATGCAGGCACATTAAAGTGTGCAGCTCAGCTAATTTGCAGCACCAGGATTCCTGGTAGCAACCCCCGCCCCTGAATAAAAAAGTGGTGCAACACATACCAAAGTGGTGTGGACTGGGAGAAACGTGGAGACAAGGAGCAGGCAGCCCAGGGCTATCTCCGCATGCTGCAGAGCCCTCACGCTGAGACACCCTACACCCCAGCCAGCCTTCCCACCTGAGATGCAGTGTGCCTTGAGATGAGGGAGCAGGCAGGCCTGGGCTAGCTGCTCCCCTGTCTTTGCATGTCTCAGTGTGGGGGCTCTGCTGCAGAGTCCCCATACTGAGGCATTGGGATCACCCAAGTCAAAGCACCCTGCATCCCAGCCAGCCAGGGAGTGGCTGGCTGGGGCGCAGGGTGCCTCAGAGTAGGGACTCCTCATGCCTCATCAGGGGGGCTCCACAGCACATGGAGATGAGGAAGCAGGCAGCACTGAGCTACCTACTCCCCCATATCCATGTGCCACTCTCTGGCTGTCTGGGGTTCAGGGGCCTCAGCATGGGGCTGCCTGCTGGCTAGCCCTGTGCTGAGGCACCCTGTGCCCCAGCCAGAACCCCCTGCATCACATGGAGCAGTGGGACAATGTGTCCCAGTGCAAAGCACACAGGCAGGGGTGTGCACTGCAGCACAAATTTGTGCCACTACTATATGTGCTGATACAAATGCATGCCCCTGCTTGTGTGGATGCAGCCAATATGTGCAAGGGGATTTGGTGCTGAGTTTTGTTTCATCCTTTGCTAGAGATAAGTATTAAACCTGAATTTGGGTTTTAGCCCCTTAACAAGGTTGCCAGTATTCACATTCAGGGCTTGTTTTTAGTTGACATCCTATTTCAGAACATGAATTTAGAGAATGACTTTCACTTGCAGTGTTTATGCAGGTCTCAATCCAAAGCTCCTTTGAAATCCATGGAAAGAGTCACAGTAATTTTAGGGGGCTTTTAGATTAGGTTCCTAATATTCTAATTTAGATTTTTTGATCTAATCAAACCTAGAGGAGGGAAACTACGTTTATTGACAGGAATGAATGATGGAATACTTTTACTTGAAAACCAGCCATGCACATCCCTTCACTTTATGACAATCTCTAGAAGTTGATAGAGATTAAATCAATAGGAAGCCATACATACATTTTAATTCTGTAAAAAAGTACTCTGATAACATATAGAATTTAATTTAGAATTCTTTAAAGACCTTTGAAACATCCAATAGAGTTCTATATACAAGATACAAATTTCTATTAAATTTTGTGGGATAATAATCAGAAAAAAGCTCCAAACCTATAGAGAAATGATCATTTTGCTCTTAAATTCCCTGGGGATATTTTCATCTGGGAAATACAGGCAACTGGAATTACTTGAGATTTTGGTCATGACTTACAAAAGTACTTTTGTATTGCACTACAACAGTGTGAATTGCTTAGAATTTATGATTGCTTTCCCTGCTTTTCTCTGATAGGTCATTGCTTGTGAACAACAGTATGACTACTCTTATGATGCTCGGTGTGACGTATGGTCCCTGGGGATCACAGCTATTGAACTGGGTGATGGAGAACCACCCTTATTTGACATGCATCCTGTGAAAACACTTTTTAAGATTCCAAGGTATGGCACTAGATGGCTCTCTTGACTCACTAGTTTGTTGTTCATGGGGAGTCTAGTGAGAAGTAAAATATTTTGTAAACATTTTTTTCTCAAGTCATAAGAAACCTGCATTGGAAAATAGATAAAAAGAAATGCTTTTAAGATGATTCCTATTATGTCTGATTTTGGCAACCAAGAACCACAGGGTCTAGTTGAAATAATAGAATTCAATATTTACTTTACCCTTGTCTTGGAGTTTGATTTTAATACCATCCATAGTAGACTTTGGATATAATTTTCTTAGCTAATATTGATAAATCCTTTTGTTTCAAAATAGGCAGGTGTCAGTATCTAAAAATGTAGTATAACATTTTTAAATGTTATTCATCTGAAATCTTAGACTTGCCTGATTGTGGAAGAAGTGCATATCGTTTTAATAATGGTATATATCTGTCAATTTTAGTAAATTGCATTTGTCATTTATTTTTTAATTTAGCTTTGGATAATAAGATGTGCACTATATATGTATATATGAAATTGCAATAGATGCACTTTCTACATATATTAGTGTAACAGGAATCTTTTATTTCACATGATCTTTTTGTTTTGATTTGGCTTCTGTGGACTGGGGTTTTTAACTGTACAAGTCAGGATTTTATTGACAGAGTGAAATAGAATTTAACAACAGAGCAGTCGTAATACGTGGACATTTTTTTCAAGAATTTGCCCAAGGTTGATTGTGGACTGGCAAATGCTTGTCTTTTCCACATTTCTTTGTAAACGAAGAATCGCTGTGGACTGATAGCAGTTTAAAAGCTTCAACAATACAAGTGTTTGACCTTTTGTTATCTGCACAATCACACAATTATCATGGGCTTTTAAAATTAATCTGATTGCAATTTGCATTTCTGATTAAGTCTATTTATATGCAGATGAGGCTGTCTTAGGTTTTGCGTCATAATGTTATCTCCTTATACCCAACCCAGGCTGAACTGCCACCACTCTTCCAAAAATTATTCAGACTGAAGCAGCAGTTCATCTTGTTGCCTTTGCGCAAGTATAAAACAGGTCATGGCAATTAAAGCAGCAAGGGAGGCTTCCGATTTCTAAACTAATATCCATAAATTTTATCAGATGAATGCTCAAAACAGTTTAAAAGAACAGCAATCATGTCAGTAGTGTAAAGTAACAGCAAGTGATAGGAAGATATATGGAATGGGACTTAGGGATGCTTTCATTTTTGTTTATGACTTATCCTTTTTTCTATCAACTGCTGTATGTCTTTAGGATTTCACAAATCAAGATGAGGTGTCTGTCTTGATGAGATAAATACCATGTTAGTTTACTAAGTAAACTCCTTAATGGTAGCAGTCCTTTGTTGTTTTTCTTGAGGCAAGAGATTTTCATCTGCTTTGCATTTATGAGCTAGAACTCTACCACTAGTAACAGTCCCCTCACATAAGACATAATGGACTATGACAGGTACTAGATGGCTCAAGGGACTGGTTATGGGATATGGAGCATGCCCTCTCTAGGTACTGGTTTGAATACAAAGCCATAAACATAGCAAATAGTGACCAAATATTGCTATCATCTGATTGTTATTTGACAGTCTAGCAATGGTCTCCTTCCAGTTTCTTGTACAGATAGTATTTTTTTGTCAGCACTAATAAAAGAGTTTTTAGGCATCGCTCATGTCTCAAGGTAGTGTCTCCAAGAAGTGGAATAAACACTCTAGGAAGGCAGTGGGTAAAAGTGTAGCACATAGGGAAGCTTGCAGCATACCAGTCACTGCTGTACAGCACACACAACTCTGAATTTTCTCTGACCTTAGTCTGGTATCTTTAATGAATGCTGCTTTCACTATAAAAAGCATGTGTGTGAGTGAGATTGTATCCTTATTTTCTATCTCTAAATTCCTATGATGATTTATATCTTTGAATTCCCATGATTTTTGTTTGTGAACCTTCTGTTCCATAAACCATTTTGTTCTCAAAATTGCTGTAGCCTCTTACAGAAGATACAAGCATGTTATTCTAAATCATGGAGACATTACTTCCTTTTCAATGTTTTCTCTTAACTCAAAATAAGTTATTTAACTGAAAGTACTTGGTTGATCATTGTATATAGGGGAAAAAAACAAATAGGGCTCTAGTTTCTTGTTTTGATATCAATAGGTTTGATCCAGAACCCTCTCCCTCCCCCCCCACAAAAAAAGAGATGCTGCTGCCTTTTGGCTTGTGCTGGCTGATGTATGCATAGGTTCAAATAAACACTTTGTGGAGAACTGAAGCAAAGCATATCCAAGGGGAAGGAAAAAGAGCTTCAGTGAGCTCTCCAACTTTCAAATGTCTCTGCAGGCTCTCAGGTCTTTGTATAGTGCCTGATCCATCATGTGCACAACAAATTAAAAGGCTTGGGTTTTCCTTCACCTAAATTAGTGTCTCACTCTGAAATGGTGAATTTGCATTCAGTTACATTTTCTTGGAGTTTTAAATGAGATTCTGTTGGGTTTCAGCTCTGTATACACATACCTAATGATGCAGGAATGAGCCAGCACTAAAGTTGGTCGCAGAATTACTCTGCGCCTATGGTAACCCACAGCCAAGTAACATTTTCTCTGGAAATGTAAGGAGTCACTGAGAAGAATGAACAATAAATGCTATGAATTATCAAATACATATCTCACTGCTGCAGAACATCCTATATTGTTCCAACTGCTTTTATTCTCTCTTGGTTACTTTTGCTGACTGGACTCATTTGAACTTTAATGGGGGCATAATTGTCATTCACAATGAGTGACACTTGCATCTCACTTGGACATCACATACTTGTTTTATCTGAAACAAGTCCTTGAGCTATCAGAAATGATTATGCGCTTGTTCTCCTATGTTCTTAACTGCAGCCTTTTGATTTCCATTTTTTGTGTACTGCGCTAATCTGCTGTATGTACTGCACATTTCCGTGCCTTAGCAAAATATTTTGCAGTCATTCTGGTGTTTCCTCTTCAAGAAGAGGAATAATTAAATCTTATGACTGCACTTAAAAGTAAAAAGTGTCAGATTGACTGTCCTCCATCAGATGCAGATCCAGGATTTTACAAAGTGGGGCATGGGAGCAGCGCCTGGCACTGCAGGGGTGACTGCATCATCTACTCCTAGACTTTTCCCCACTCTCTGCTCCTCTGGGGGGTGGTAGTGGCAGGAGAAAATATCCTTTGGGTGGGCTGAAGGCAGTTGTGGGGCTGGCGTGCGCTGGCAGTGGAAGAGTGCGCAGTGGAGGCACTGGGTGTGGCACTGCACATGGTGCTGGTGCTGAGCAGCACCAGGTGCTACAGGATGGCAACACCATGGTGCTGCTGCTGTCGCCAGTTGCCACAAAATTAGTTTGGGGTGGGGGGTTAAACCCTGTTAGTCCCCGCCTTCTGCTGCCTATGCTGGGGGGGGGGGGGGGCGGGCCGGGGGGGGGGTGGGGGAGGGGCGAGCAGAGGGAGGGTTGGGACAGACCATGCCATGGGAGCAGGAGTCAGGAACTTTTTCAAGTCCAGAAGAAGGTAAATCTTCCCCCCCTGCTTTCCCTCCATGGTCAGAGGCACATCCCGTCTGCTTCCTGCTGTCCTGGAGGCAAGAGGAGCTCTAGAGCTGCTCCACACAGTCTGTGTGGCAGCTGAGCTCAGCCCAGGAGGCATCTCAGGAGACTGGCAGCAACAGTAGCTGCAGGTGAATAGATTTCCCTTCCCTGCACCTACCTGCTCCTGGGTTGGGAGGGAATACCCAGAGGGAGCAGTCAGACTGTGCCATAGCAAGGTGGGCATGAGCAGGGCAATCGCCCCAGGTGCCACAGTGAAGGGGCGCCAATAGGTGCTGCCCAGTCAGGGTGGGGCATGGGATGGAGCTGCAGGCAACTTGTTTGGGGGGGCACGGGGATGGGGGGAGGGCAGTTCCTGCTGCTGCATGCACTCCTGGGCAAGCATGGGGAAGCATGTGCCCCCTGGATCTATGTGTGGGGTGAGGGCAGGCTGCCACTGCGGGGTTTGCCCTGGGTGCCAAACTTCCTTGCCACTATTTAGCAATAGTCTTTCATAGTAAGCAAATAACATGCAGATAATGCAAGGTAGAAACGACAGGATGTTTGGCATTGCAGAAAAGTTTTCCTTTTAAAAAGAATAGAAGCGAGGGCAGTTTTGTCAAAGTTCCCAGTGGAAAGGAAACCATTTTGTTTGTTTTGTTTCCTAGATGTGATGTGATGTAAACCTTTCCATTTTATTTTTTTCAGAACAAAATAGAGCAGCTGGTTGCCAGCTCTGGGGACTCTCAAGTCCACCCTAACTCTGTGAGAGTTCTCCGTCGCTCCCCAGTGAGGTAGGGAAATCCTTTGCCATGAATCTGGAACCTGAGAAATCCTGAGGGCCCCAGATAGAGCCAGGTTTCTCAGGGCTTCTGTAGACCCTGCTGCAGAGCTATGAGCCTAGACCTGGAGTTTTCTGGATTGCTAGACTTCTTGCTCTGAAGCAGGGAGCCTAGAAATCCTGAAAGCCCTTGCTTAAGATGAGATTCAGGTCTGTCATATTCCTACATGCACACTGTATGCTCTCAGGACCTCCTGAAATCCAGGAGCCAGGAGATTCCCAACCCTGAGACAGTCTTCGAGTGGCATAGGTACCCCAGAGTTAAAGGATCATCAAACCCTGGCCTGCCTGGCTGGCCAGGTTCTATCTGATCTGAACTTCCAGCTGACTTAAACTTCCTATGATTCAGTAGACATTCATTTGACTCTGACCCATATCCTCAGGTTGTTTCAGTTTCAACAAAATGGCATTTCTGACAAAATCAGCAAATTCCCAGTGGCCTGTGCCTCTAATGTATTTATAATACTTCCTTTTGCTCTAAGAAATATTTGAAAATAAAACACAGGCACTATCCAGCAGAGAGGTTATGGGACTATTCTAATTTTCACAAAAAAGGACTTCAGAAGTAGAACTTCATTCTGACCCCTAGACATTGTTTTTTGTATACTGACCG